ATGTACACTGTGTAAAGCGTGTATTGATGTAGGAGTATCACATGAACACTGTGTATAGCGTGTGTTGATGTAGGAGTATCACATGTGCACTGTGTGTAGCGTGTGTTGATGTAGGAGTATCACATGAACACTGAGTGTAGCGTGTGTTGATGTAGGGGTATCACATGTACACTGTTTGTAGCGTGTGTTGATGTAGGAGTATCACATATACACTGTGTGTAGCGTGTGTTGATGTAGGAGTATCACATGTACACTGTGTATAGCGTGTGTTGATGTAGGTGTATCACATGTACACTGTGTATAGCGTTTGTTGATGTAGGAGTATCACATGTGCACTATGTATAGCGTGTGTTGATGTAGGGGCATCACATGTGCACTATGTATAGTGTGTGTTGATGTGTGCGCTCTGGGGGATCCTATTGCGACCCGATCGCGTATTGTTTGGTCCGATCATATAAAAATTCGCTTCTCAGTTCTACGCTTGGTAGCAGAGGGGTAGGTCCTAGTCTTTCGTGGCGATCGGCGAAGCTGTAAGGTGATACGATAGCGCTCTGACTACGACCATGGCGATCAAATAGCGCTCTGACTACGACCATGGCGATCAAGTAGCGCTCTGACTACGACCATGGCGATCAAATAGCGCTCTGACTACGACCATGGCGATCAAATAGCGCTCTGACTACGACCTTGGCGATCAAGTAGCACTCTGACTACGACCTTGGCGATCAAGTAGCGCTCTGATTACGACCTTAGCGATCAAGTAGCGCTCTGACTACGACCTTGGCGATCAACTAGCGCTCTGACTACGACCATGGCGATCAAATAGCGCTCTGACTACGACCTTGGCGATCAAGTAGCGCTCTGACTACGACCTTGGCGATCAAGTAGCGCTCTGATTACGACCTTGGCGATCAAGTAGCACTCTGACTACGACCTTGGCGATCAAGTAGCGCTCTGACTACGACCTTGGCGATCAAGTAGCGCTCTGATTACGACCTTGGCGATCAAGTAGCGCTCTGATTACGACCTTGGCGATCAAGTAGCGCTCTGACTACGACCTTGGCGATCAAATAGCGCTCTGACTACGACCTTGGCGATCAAGTAGCGCTCTGATTACGACCTTGGCGATCAAGTAGCGCTCTGACTACGACCTTGGCGACCAAATAGCGCTCTGACAACGACCTTGGCGATCAAGAAGCGCTCTGACTACGACCATGGCGATCAAATAGCGCTCTGACTACGACCATGGCGATCAAATAGCGTTCTGACTACGACCTTGGCGATCAAGTAGCGCTCTGACTACGACCATGGCGATCAAATAGCGTTCTGATTACGACCTTGGCGATCAAGTAGCGCTCTGACTACGACCTTGGCGATGAAGTAGCGCTCTGACTACGACCTTGGCGATCAAGTAGCGCTCTGACTACGACCTTGGCGATCAAGTAGCGTTCTGACTACGACCTTGGCGATCAAGTAGCGCTCCGGTGGCGATCTCGGCGTTCAAGCAGCGATCTGACGGCATTTTGGGCGGAGCTCCACGGATCTTTGTGCAGGGAAGTCGACAAGCGGCGACCTTGACGATCATAGAGATTAGATAGCGATCCATTAACGCTTTCGGAGATCTTAGCGCTCTATATGGCGATCTATGGCGATATGTAAGAGCACCACAGAGCGCCGCTTAGTGGAATGGGGGTATAACTAATACCCCCATTCCCCTAGGCGGCGATCCACGGTGATCTACGCGATCTGAAGGAGCGCCATAGATCGCCATATAATGAGACGATATAGGGGTACTTGTGATCCGAGTGCGATCAGATAGCGATCCAGTAGCGATCCAATAGCGATCCAATAGCGATCCAATAGCGATCTATGTGATCCGATAGCGACTTGATGGCGCTTTATCGCCACCCAACCACCCCAAAATGTGGCGATTTTGCACGATCAGTGTTCCCGCTCTATTGGCGATCCGATGGCGATCATTATGATCTATGGCGCTCTTCTCTGATCCGATAGCGATCGAGTGCGATCTATGAAGATCCGTTAGAGCTCAAGTAGCGCTCTAGGCGATCCGATTGAGACCTGATCGCCGCAAAGGGGCCCGATCATATAAAAACCTGTGGCGTTCAGTCGCGCTCTCCACTTCTGTGCTTGGCAGCAGACGGGTATCACCATGAACCATAGAGATGCTGCCATAATACAAGTGATTTACAATCTGGTGAACCATGCCATCGGGAACCAGCAGATTGCTATTCTGGCCCAGCAGCCTCGAAGAAGAAGGAGAAGGAAGGCTTTTTGGGTGAGACCCTGGAGCGCCATTGGAGCGGCATTGGAGCGCCACAGAACGCTACAGGGTGGCGCTCCAAATCGTGAACCAAACAGTGAAGCACAATCAGAGCGCCATCGGAGCGCAATCGGGGGCCAGTGCATCTCCGAGGAGCGCCATCAGATCGCCATGGAGCGCCGGAGATCGGTAGGCCAGCTTTTGTGGCGATCGGCGGCGCTCTATGGAGATCCGATAGCGCTCAGATGGCGATCTAGGCGATCAATTAGCGATCTGATGGCGCTCTGGGCGGAGCGGGAGTCAACCGGCGGCGACCTTGGCGATCATGGAGATCTGTTAGCGATCTGTAAGCGCTTTTGGCGATCTTGGCGCTCTATATGGCGCTGTGGGTCGCCACCTAGTGGAATGGGGGTATAATAAACCTCCGAGCTTGCTTACTTTGTAGTTTACTGGTCTCGACGAATAATATCGTGACGATGACTTACTTCGCTGGTTTCACGGAAGAACATTGCAACAATGTGATTTTGTCGGTATTTGTCGGCTCTCACTCACATACGTATTCCCCACTCATACTCACTCGCTTTCATCGGTGTCAGCGGCCAGATCTAAGCAGGGTACAACTACCAGGCTACCCGACCGCCCCTTATATCACCGTAAACACAATTAATCCATTTTAAGTTCATGTAGAGGACGACATGAAACACTGGAACCAAATCATTTATTCACTTTAGAGACAGATTACGTGTTACAAGTCAAGGCAAAATGAATAAATACTGTTGATAAATGCAGGAATATAGAAATAGAAAAAAAAGTTGATTGCAAACACCAATCGAGACTTCAGGGAAACCTCGGAAAGTTGTTCTGGCAAAAGTTCACACGGTCAATTTGACAAAAACATTTTTACATGGTGTTAACTTTTCTGCCAACTCACAGATGTATGAACTCAAAATATCAGATCACGTGACTACCCATTCAGCCAATCTGTATGAAAACATTGTGTAAACTTTAAAGTATTAAATTATTAATATACTGAACCGCAAAAGAAACGTCACCCCAAGTAACATTGCATGAAAAGTTGTCATTTTAATATCGTGGTAATGTTTGTTAAAGTTTCTAAAATTTAACATTACCTGGTCAAGAAAAATTAAATTGGATGATACAAAGACAAAGCAGATGACAATAAAACCGATCGCCCAAACGCATCACGGCAACGGCCATGGTAACCCGATGCACGTGAGTTCCGTGCAAATTGAAATGCACATGCTTTCCCCCATGTCCATCCTTCCAGATCCGATAACATTCATTCGTTATTGAATTGCTACCACATGCCAAGATTGACAAGAAATCAGTGACACCAAGCCCTTGGACGATTGCAAGCTTGACAAAAAAGTAGCCAATGCATTTCAAGTCAACATAAGGACCATATACAGTCTCTAGCAACGGTACAAGACTACCAACACTACAGATTACAGACCACGTAGTGGAAGACCAGGGGTCACCACCCAAAGTCAGGGTCGTCAGATTGTGCGACAGCATCTCCAAAATCGCTTTGTTGTTGCTGCGGAAACTGCTCGACAGACCATGGGGACACACCTGCGACACATTAGTGCGGACACCATGCGTTTTGACGATTGACGAGCAGACACCTCCCCTGTCACAGGCCACACAGAGGACCTTTTCTGACATCACGTCATCGCCGAGACCGTCTTAAGTTGGCAACATAACACCAGCATTGGCACCACCAGCAGTGGAAAAGAGTCATCAACAGCAAATGGCTGATAGAGAATCTGGTGACGCCGTGGGGAACGTTATTCGGATGTTTGTGTTGTGGAGAGAGACTCGTGGGGTGGCCCAAGCATCATGGTGTGGGGTGGAATTGGTCTTGCACAGAGGGTCGGCCCTGTGGTCTTCCAGAACATCGGTCCAGGGCAAAGGTGTCACAGCTGCTCGGTACATTTATCAAGACTTGAGACCACACGCCATACCTCATTTGGCACATCGCCGCAACCACGAGTATCAGCAAGATAACGCCCTTGCCTACACTGCGAGAGCAACAAGAGACTTCCTCCAGCAGAATGGCATCAGAACAATGGAGTGGCCTACCCGCAGTCCCGATTTAAATCCAATTGAGCACCTGTGGGACGAGATTCAAAGACGGCTGAATGACGTCCGACCAAGGCCGACAACTGCAGCTGAACTGCGTAAGGCGCTCCTCGGAATGTGGGCTCAAGTGCCTATGGCTTTCACCAACAGCCTCATCAATTCCATGTATCGACATGGCACGGCAGTCATCAATGCACATGGCAGACACACGAGATACTGACTTGTGATGCCATTTTCTCAGAGACTAGAGTTGCGTTCCACTTTAAAAACATTTGTCACTTTAATTTCAACCCTGATGATCAGTTTTGCCAAGTTTCATTTTTTAAAAATGTCGTGTACTATATTGCTCCTCCTAGATATTTGACTCATTATTTTGCCTTCGGTGATTGTAGACATAATATTGTGTGATTCAAAATGATTTGTTTATTATTATTGATCCTGTTTTCACTGATGTCACAATTTAGTTCTGTATGTAACAATTTCGAGGTTAACATTCGCGTTTCAACTTAAGAATAAACTGGTAACGTTATAAATGTGCGTTTATTAACACAAATACATATTCTCACAGGAACAAATGGCATATCACCCATTGTGACTGCCAGTTTATCTTATAATTTTAAACGTCAGGCTGTTTCCCCATCCTCTTCATGAGGAGGACATATGATTCTGTGTTATAATTGTTTTTTGCTGTCATCGCCGCTGTCATCCCATACTTGTTCCTGGCATTGACATCCACAACAGATTGAGAGAGAATATGCGTCACCATCTCCACATGGTCTCTAAGACAGGCGGTGTGAAGTATAGTGTAATTATTTTCATCAACTACCGACATGTTACCTCCTTTACTGACAAGGAAGTCAAAAAGTTCTATATTTCCTTTAGCTGATGCCATCAGCAATGGTGTTCTTCCGTATACTCCTCGGCTGTTAATCTCCACAATATTGTGTGAAATAATATGCATCACCATCTTCACTTGTCCAAAGAAACAGGCAACATGAAGAATATTAGAACCCCTATCATCAACTGCAGATGCATTACCTCCTCTATCAACAAGCAAGTCAAACACATTTGTATGCCCCGTACCGGCTGCCACCATCAATGGTGTCCTCCCGTACCTCCCTCTACTGTTGACGTCGACAACGTTGTTTGAGAGGACATACTCCACTACCTCCACATGTCCTCTACGGCTGGCGAGATGAAGGACGTTGTCCCCATACATATCCACAAGTGAAGCATCACCTCTTTTTTTCACGAGTAAGTCAAACACATCTCTATGTCCGGCTGCTTTCATCAGAGGCGTTCTCCCGTATATGTCTCTACTGTTGATGTCCGCAATGTTCTGTGATAAGATATACTTCACCATCTCCACATTTCCTCCAAGGCAAGCGAGATGTAGGATGTTTTGATCATCTGTATCCACAAGTAAAGCGTCACCTCCTTTACTCACGAGTAAGTCAAATACGTCTCTGTATCCTTTTAATGCTGCCATCATCAGAGGCGTTCTCCCGTATATTCCTCTACTGTTGATGTCCGTAAGGTTCTGTGATAAGATATACTTCAGCATCTCCACATTTCCTCCAAGGCAAGCGAGATGTAGGATGTTTTGATCATCTGTATCCACAAGTAAAGCGTCACCTCCTTTACTCACGAGTAAGTCAAATACGTCTCTGTATCCTTGTAATGCTGCCATCATCAGAGGCGTTCTCCCGTATATTCCTCTACTTTTGATGTCCGTAAGGTTCTGTGATAAGATATACTTCACCATCGCGACATGTCCTCCAATGAAAGCCAAATGTAAGATGTTGTTACCATTAGGATCAACTACCGACACATTACCTCCTGCACATACGCATAACATAAACACTTCCCTGTATCCCCCGCGTGCTGCCAACAATACTGGTGTCATTCCGTGTTCATCCTCTCTACTGTTGATGTCTTCTTGAGCTTCTGTCAAGGCGTGTCGCACTTGGCCTAGGTCCCCCTCCCTGCAGGCTTCATGAAGTGTGTTTCTTTTCTGATCTCGTTTGTGCTGATGGGATCTCAACTGATACAACTTCTCATCTGAAATGTGTTTATGGAAATGACATAAGGGCTTAGGGATTTTGCTCATCTAACAATCGGTGCATGTGGCTTTATTTCAGTAGAGCTAGTGAATAACTACTCTACAATCTTACATTTTGACGAACATTTATTTGAAGATTCGAACAAATAATAATGTTTGTCTTTTAAAAAAAACTTTAACATACATACAAATGTACATGCATATACATGCATTTTCCTCGTCTTATCCCAAACAATTTCTGAAGGAAATCTTTATTCTAATTCAGGAAAATTGGAAATGAAGGTAAATTCAATAGACTCTTTCTTCATCTTAAAAGGGGGCACAGGTGGCCCAGTTGTCTAGGGCGCCGCGATTCGCTGTGCAGAGTTGTGTCCCTTGGCACGCCAGAAACCTATGATTGTAGGTTCGAATCCCGATTCGCCCCTATTATGTTTCTAGGTTTGTCAGCACCATACTCGTGCTCGTGGGTTTCACCGAAGTGGTAACGTCTGAGACCTGCATCTCTTCAGGCTTTCCTCCCACCTTAAGCTGACCCGCCGCGATATAACTGGAATACTGTTAAAAGCGATGTTAAACCCAACTCACTCACTCAGTCACTCTTCATCTTGTCAACTTGTTTGTGGATTGTGAATGTTTCCTTTTCCACGACGATTAAATATTGGCTCACGGATGTGAAGTTAAATAATTTTTGAGGGAACCGAAACACAACTGTTTTCAAGACATACGATGGACAAGAAATCATTACTGTTGGTAAATGAAAACGATTAAAACATAATCAATTATATCCCAAGTTATTTTTTCTTTGATAATATATTGTATCTATTCTTCTTAGGGAACCTGAACTCCGCATATCTTCTATTTGCATAATCTTATACTATAAATGAATTTTCGTACAAATGAGTGAGTACGATTTTACGTCCTTTGAAGAATGTTCCATCACTATCACGGCAGGAGACGTAAGAAATGGTCCTCACATATTGTGCCTATCCATGTGAGAACGGTTAAACCACAATGATTTTACCAAACCTTAAGTGAATTAGAACATGGAAACCAGACGAAAAGTAACTGGAAGTCAATTACCTTTTAAACAAACAGCTTTTCCAGAACGGCTCTCTAAGCAGCGAGAACCAGGACTGCAAGACGTGGCTGCGCAGGGCCCAGTGGGTACCTTTAGAAAGAAGCAAACTGTACGGCTATGTACGTGTCAGCGGATGTTTCATCCTTAAAAAGCACACTCGATAGGAATATTTATCTGGCAGCTCTTAATTTGCAAATGCATATATTTTCAGTTGACAGTTGTCTCTCCATTGACTTGGCAACCTCGTGGTCAAACCGCTAACCCAGGTTCGCTTCTACATTTAGGTGCAATGACGAAATAAATGAATGCAATCACCTACAATGTTAAATAATACTAATTTACAAACATAATCAACTTACATCTGAATGATTCTTTTGAAGAACAATGAAGCCTTCAGTCGTCTCATTTCGCTTCGATTCACCAAGTCGTAGACAACAAGTTAAAGTTTCATAATTGTATTCGAATCTCAAACAGCCACCAGTTTCAATACATCTAACTTGGCACAGCCTGATGCCTATGTTCCTGATAGTGACAGAGCTCTCCGTCACCTTCTCTGGTATTTGAACCTCACATTGTTTAATGCTGGATGTGGAAAGCCCAAACACGGAGTGAACAACTGCTGATACCAGAAGCAGGTCCTGCAGAACCCCTGAACACAGGGATGGCATCGCCAGGTGTTTACACAGGAGCACTGGATACAACGACCATACTCAGTTGAAGACCATTGCACGACTGCTCATCAACACTACCCAGGCAGACCTCGCCTTGCCTTCTAGCAGTTGTTAGATAGATGTCACGTGACAGAACACGTTAAATGTTACATGCGAGATCAATACAGCAAACTACATTGTGGAACCATGTCATTGGAGGTGTACTGGGAACAAAATGAGTAAATGCTGGACTTACTCTCAGATAACATCGATGTGAAAGAGTTCATGTAGGATTCATGTAGGAACCCCTATGGTGCTCCTGTCATTGCTGGTGTGTTTACTAAATTAAGATTTTGACTAGATATAATAGAAAATGTTCTTGGCACACAAAATGTGTCCTATTTTGATAAGTGATCATTAATTCAAATCTAACTAAATCAATACGTCTACCGATCACTTCACAAACGATTTCGTCAAAATTAATGTCAGCAAAAGTGAATGAAATTTTGAAAACAAATAATGAAATGGCTTAAGTCCAGACATAAGTCCAGAAACAGTGACCAGTTGTAGGACAAGACCGTGTAATTACATGGATGATTTACGTACTTCATTACGGATTTTTCGAACTGGCTGCCATTGTACAAAACACCATAAACCAAAAAAGCAGCTCTCACACTTTGCCGGGGTGGTTGCCGAGCTTAACTCGATTAGGACACAGAAAGAGACTACATATATACGAGTATCATACGAGTACGCTACGAGTGTGTTACGAGCCCGATATGAGTCTATTAAGAGTTGCATACGAGCACAACGATCTCGATACGAGTTTGGTACGACTTTGGTACGAGGTGGCTACGAGCTGCTAAATAATTCGGCGGAATTTGTAACATGAATTAACATAGGGGCTCGTATAGCTCTTATTGGACTCGGTCAACTCAGCAATATATTTTGCAGACGATCTTCATACGAGTTCTGTACGAGCACCACGAGATGCCCACGAGGGTACTACGAGTAGGACGAGTTTGTTACGAGTTTGTCAGGAGTTGGCTGGCGAGCAGTTCCACAACTCTCGTAGATCAGTACGAGGTATCCCGAGTTACCCCGAGTTTAGAACGACCTCGCTACGAGCTCCATACGAGTACCCCGAGTCAGCTCGGGTCCATACTCGGGACTCAACTCGGCAAAGTGTGGGAGCCCCTTAAGACTGTCCATGTTAATGCATGGGAGTTGTGATTACCTCAGCGCTAATATCGCTCTGCACAACGACTCCCTGGTATTTGCGGTGTTATGTGCTAACTGTCATGTCTTGGCGTTGGGGGGAGTGGGCACATAACAAATAATGATATATTTTAAATAGACAGCTATGTATTTTTTTTAAAGGGCGGAGGTTTGAAACAACATACACTTTTATAGTACGCAAGATAATTTCTAACTTAAAATATGTTATATCTCTCACACGATTTAGAAATGATAACGATGTACCCCATAAGTGGGAATATTGCAGGCCGAGTACAAAATAATATCTATTGGCCCTGCAGGACATGTAGTGTTTGAGAAATCCTTCGAGCCCTGGTAGCACCCTTAAAAATTAACACCCTCTCTGGTCTTAACCAAGCACCAATGGGTGATTGTGATCTGCGATCAGTTGTGATCAAGGTGCGTTTGCAACCTGAGGGGAATATAGATTTCAAAAGTGATGTGCTGTGCAATAAATTGAAATTGTTTGCACACTATATAGACATTTCATTACAATATTTGATTTGTTAATGTAACTTTGCACTATGTCGCATCAGCATGATTAAATATTAAAAAATAGGCCGTTGGATCCACAGAACAAGTTGTTAAGAAAATGTCTCTATAAAAAAACAGGGCCTGGCCAGAATTTTCCACATACTTTTCCAGGACTTAGTAGTTTTACTAACATGATAACTGATGAACCTATGTGCTAAAGGTGGGTAAATTCTTACCACAACTTTTCCTTTTCCAGCTTTGATGATCGCAAAGTTCAAAGAGATAAAGACCAGGTGCTTTCCGGGATAATGCTGAACCATTCTGGGAAGCCATGGGTAAACATTCAGACATTGAGTGGTAAGTATGTTTTATCAGTGAAAGTCATTCAGTTAATAGCCCTGCTTAACAAGGGGAACCACTTGGGTTTTTTAAAATGCAGATTTTGCCAAAGGTGTTTGTGTCATAAACGAGAGGAGTGAGTGGTTTTACACCGCTTTTAGCAATATCATAGCAGGGGACACCAGAAATGGACTTCACACATTGTACCTATGTCAGGAATTGAAACCAGGTCTTCGACATGACTAGCGAAAACTTTCACCACAAGGCTACCCGACCGCCCCTAAGTGCTTAACACATAATAAAGTAAAAAGTAGACAATGCTTACTGAGGTTTAACTTTTAAATAATACTTTGATCCCTGTTGTGACGTCATATGATCAGGGTAAGTACTCAGCCACCTAATGATTAGGTGGTTCTTAATTCATAATTATTATACTAAATTAAGTTACATATTTGCATTAATGACATGTGCTATGATGTGATGGACTCAATTTGAAAATATTTCGTCTCAAAAGATGATATAATTGCCAGGTGAGCTACATAGCCCTTGGCTCTATTTTTAATGTTTTACCATGAAATATTTATTATTAAGAGAAACCATTTCATATTGTTGATAACTTATTCATTATTTGAAAGTTTATCATTTACTACATTAAAACAACAAAACTCTTTGGTCACTCATGCTCACTTGTACATGCATATATGTACTACAGGAAACACTCAGAAATAAAAACAAAGAATCTCCTGAAGCGACGTACTGCAAGTAATCGAGCTTACAAGTAAATAATGCTCCTTAAGCGTTCATACTCACTTGTACATGAATACACCTACCACAAGACACACAAAAAAGAATATCTTGAAGCAATAGGACTGTAGGTAGTCAAGCTTACAAGTAAAGAATGCGCA